CTTAATAGAAGTTTTTTCTCATATTCTCTAACACTCAGTAACCAAATTGCATCCTCATGGCTTTATTACCTTGCTGGGGATGAAGTGATAAAAATACACCATGACAGTGGCCCTGGAGCCCAAAATTTATTCATCTCATTGTTTGGTTTAGATAAAAAATCTTTTGTGTAACCCATGACAGGTACATTATGTGGAGGTGAAATAGTGAATACTAACCACTTATGCTACCATGGTTTCTAATTCTCTGACTTCAGTCAACCCTTGGTTTGGTTTTCAGGCAATTTCCAAATGTGCCACATTTCCCAGACTGATAACATCAAGAAATTGCCTTCCTGACAAATCAACACTAAAGAGATCTGAACTGAGCTCTCATGGTCAGAAAATGAACGTTCTATCTACTAGTGACACATCCATCCATATATATATATATATATATATATATATATATATATAAAGTTTTATTAAAAATGATTTTAGATAAAAAAGATCAAACATTCAGGGACAGATAAGTAAATATCAACTTTCATTTATCTAAATATATTTCAGCATAATATCTTAAAAGAATTTTAGGTTTCTTTTGTTTTGATAAAGCTTCAAGGATACATAGATATTATCTTTGAAAAAATATTAACATTTTAGACTATATTGTTACTACCAATCCTTTGTTCACTGATATGAAGACATACTCTGAACACTTACACTGGTAGTAACAAGTTTTCTTTAGTAATCAAAACAACACTTGGAATGATAATTACTCTGTTGCAGACACCATACAGTTATACGCTATGTGGGTACCTTCTAATAACAGGTCACAAGAAGAGAAACATGAAATTAAAATAACATGAAATATCAAATATATTTCTAATAATTAGAGATATATTTATTTAAATGATACATATCTGACTTTTCCATGTTATTGTTGGTCAGAAAGAAGCTAGAACATTTTTTCTATTCTGGGGTCAGTTGTCAAAAAAGAGAGTTTCTAAATTGTCCACTGAAATAGAAACTAAACAGGGCAGTGATTGGCTCATCTACTGACCAATCAGAGGACTCATTACATGACGGTTACAACAATGCTGTTAAAGAGACCTCTGATTTGGTCATTTTCTTTATTTTCTTAAAAGGAGCCATTAAAACTCTTTCTAAACTTAACAGTGGTTTCTTTGTACACTTGAAGAATGCTATACAATGGATTGGCCAAATTGTTATTTTGACAACAAAAAACAATAAAGAGAATAAAATATTCTGAGAAACTAATATCTAATTTCCAGTATGCAGTTCTACAGAAGGAAGTTGAGAATACCATGGCCTGAACATGTGAACAGTGATAGTGTTTTAGAGAAAATGGAAACATACTTAACATCAGAAAGAGACAGATGAAATTTCTAGGTTAATTAAAGAAAGAAGGTTTGGAAAATTTAATACTTGGCAGATTGAAGGTAAGAGGGAGAGAGGAAAACTACATAACCTATTGAGCAAGCTTGGGCAAATGGATGGTAGAGCAAGTTTTAGAGATAACTAAACAACAAAATTTATTAAGAGACAGGAAATTGTGGAGAGCTATGATGATGGACACAGCACATAGAAGACAATATGGCAGTTAATGATGGACAGTTTCCTCACAGAATGGCAGAAATTAATTCACTCTCTCTGCCTTTATCCTTGTCCAGAACAGGGTAGTGACGTACCTTTATCCAACCCTTTTGATAAATCTGTCAAATTGTCTGATTAGTTATCATAAATTTTACCCCATCTCCTGCTTTCCTCTGCTCTGTTTCATAAGCTGTCCAAAAGAAAACTGGCTTCCTAATGCAACAGAACATCAAAAATAAAAAAAAATGAATGAAGATACCCCCACTGTCAATTCCAGCTTTTTATTATACTGCCTGCTTCCCCACAATTTATATTGTCTCCTGCCATTAGTGAAAAGTGTTTAACCTAACACTTTTCTATTTTCCTTTCTTTGGCAAAATAAGAAAAGATTTTTTCTCTCCATTTTTTTTTTTTTACTTCTTCAATTACACAGAAGAACGAGAGACTTCAAGTGATGGAAATAAAATTCTATATCTAAATGTTGAGAATGCAATTAATAGAACATATGGGGAATGAGGAAGTTTTTAGATAATAAAAACAAGAGAAGCAGGTTGGTCAGTTGGTTTTGTTTAGCGGCATGTTAACTTCTAATGTTGAAATCTAAATATTTTGTACACAATTTTATTTTGTTTTTTTGTTTTTTTAGATAATAATGGGTTCAGTAGTACATTAATTAATAGATGGGACAGTAGAGGTGGGTTCATACCTTTGCCAAAGGTATTTGCACACAAGTGAATATAACAAACCCAAATGGAATTGGAACTCAGCTCTCCAATTAACAATTCTAAGTCATTATCCATTACACCACCCACACATCCAAGCTTACAGCACCTGGTATTCCCAAGCAGTCACCCATCTCAGTACTGACCAGGCTCAACTTTGCTTAACTTCGGTGATTCAATGTGAATGTGGCCATAAGCCCAAGACCTGAGGGCCACTCGAGGTAGAGGGTTACAGAGTAAAAGGCACAGATTATGCGCATATTTGGGGAAGATAATGGTTAGCACTAGACTTGAATAGGTTTATTGTAGTGATCACAGAAGCATCCTCTTGGGAGTTGGTTCCACAAAGCTGTGGTTCATGTGAAGAAGTTGCTTGATTGGAACTTACATCTCACCAATGAAATACAAAGGGTATGTGGGTGATTTGCTACAATTTAAGTGGCATCGTGTGTCTTAGCCGTGAAGGTTAGAACTGGGAAACTAAGGAATGTAATCCATCTGAACACTTTTCATGGAAATATCGATAGAGTAGAGAAGTTTGCAGTGTTTTATCTATAAGAAATGGTTTATAGGGTAGAAAATAATTCATCACTTACAAGGATGTGGAGTAAAAAATGGTATGCTGTTATGGAGTACCATCATCACTCATGCTGTAAAAGCACATGGTATGTAAAAGAAACAGCAGGAGAATGCAGAGAATATCATGCACAGTGCATGTGAGAAATGTTTTAAGAAAATAGTAATAACAATGAATCTGATATTTAAAATGAGAAAAAGTTAAAATTTCTGTGACACATAGTAAGGAAATAATTCTTGAAGAATCTAACCATCACACTTGAAGACAAGAAAGGCAAGAGGAATCTAATTGAGTTTGATTAAATGAATGACAGGACAATGACTACAAAGAAAATTCATTTTTTATCATTTCACTCAAGAAAGGCAATAAAGCCTCTAAGATACAAGAGGTTACTGAGAGTAAAAGAAACACTGAGAAAAGAGAGAGTGCTAATCTAGTACTTTACTTAAATACATGAAATTAATGTAAAAGTCAATGTGACAATAGTTACTTAGGAAAACAAAAGATAGGAAGTCATAGAGAGCCATCACAACTCATATGCTGAAAGGAAGATTTGTATATAAAATAAGAATCTGAACAACTCCTGGACTGAGAATTACTCTCTTGAAAATTTTCCATTATGTATATTTGAATTGTTTAGATCACTGTGTTATCATTTTGTTGGAAAATAAAAGTCCTTATTTATTTTCTTATATTTGTATATTAATATTGATCTCACTATAGGCACATCGACATATTTTTTAAATATATGATTGTAAAGATGTAATATTCAAGGATAAATAAGTGAATATTATCTTTATTTTTAAAAATATGATTAACACTGGAAATTCTATGGCTACAGCTGATGCTTTGTCTTTTGACATAAGCAGTGATTTATGAACACCAAAGAATTGACACTCCCAAGACAGAAAACCATCTTTATGTCATCATGAAGGATTATTGAAAGGTATAAACATCCAGGCCTTTGTTCTATTGACAAAATGTTAAAAAAATAATTGTATGCGTGAATAGACACTTTTATTTAAAAATACATCATCCAAATATATGAATGATGATTTATGTCAAATGATGCAAACATACACATATATATTAAATAATTCTTCTCAGATGTGTATCCTCATTGTTATACCATCAAAAGATGATGCTCTTTTAAAAAAAATGAGAAGAAAATATATAACCAGAAAAAAATTGATTATGTAAGTGTGGTTGTAAGCCAGCAACTCTCATTTTCTGAGCACACTTTCATTGGGAGAGATTGCTTTTATGGTGCATTTTTTATGGTTGTTCACTCATATCCTAATATGCCGAGAGTGACTAACCAATCCCAGTCACAGACACCTGCTCAGGCACATTTGTGTTTGTTCAGTGCCCAATGTGGTATGGATTTCAAGCACTTTTGAAAGGTGCTGCACATTGGGATCACCTCCCAAGATCAATAACATCAAGAAGTCACTTTCCTGACAGATTTAACCATTGGTCTCATGCTTGGAGAGCAAATGTTCTCTTTACTTGGTCATGTGCCCATATGTGTGCTGTGTGTGTGTATATATATATATATATATATATATATATATATATATATATATATATATATACATAGTCATCCACACACAAGCCTGTTTCGCTGTATCACAGCTCATCAGTGTGGTAGATATCCGATTGCTTCAAACTCAACCGATTTGGTATCAGTCAGACATCTTACCCCTAAGCTATTGCCGCACGGCAGAGAAAGGGAAATTTTAATGTTTTATATATGAAGTGTGTATAAATGCCAATGGCCAAGAGCACTCAATTCATCATTGAAGAGCGGTGTGTTAACAGCAGTAGCAGCCACAGATTTGAAATTACCCTTTCTCCAGAGTGCTTGATCAAAACGAGAGCATAAATATATATATATATGTGTGTGTACACACACACACACACACACACACACACACAATGTGGTAATGAAAAGTTTTTTACCTGACACCCTTCCCTACATCAGTATTTTGACACTTGGCATCGCGATCTGGGAAAGTATGTTAGGCTGAGAACATTTCAGTATCCCCTTGTTTTTCTCTCACTCTCTTGAAAGTAAGAGAGAGAGAAAGTAGAAGATAATGATCATTATCTATGACAGAAAAAATACTGAGGTATATTTAATTCAATTCAAAGAAGATTTCATTTTAATCTTTTTGAAAAATATTACCCAATGGTTTCAATCTCTTCAATTCAAGTCTATTCTAAATTTAATCTCTTCAATAAGATTCCTGTTTATTATGTTCTTGAAATATATGGAATATCTTGCATAATTGTACCAAGAGGAAACAGTTTATTTTATGCTGGCCTCTGTTAAGGTTGACAATGAATGTAATAACCTTTTTAAATATATTACTGTTTTGGCAGTAATTACTGGAAAGCAGCTTTCCTCATTGATTTCTCATACACTCAATTTTCCACCCGTCATCAGGATACATTTTTTAAATATATATGGCAATGGAACAATGACTTTTTTTAATCATATCATCCCAAGAAAGGTGATAATTCCACTAAGATGTAAGGGGTTACTGGAAATGAAAGAATGAGAAGATTTTAGTTAGGAGAAAAGATAATAAAAGAACAGGATTCAGGAAGACAGAAGATTTATGTTGTATTTAAATTTTTGAAGATTGCGACAGGGAAGCAAAAAAGTAGAAGAGATTTCCACAGGTGAGAAGTGCGAAAAAAAAAAAGTATAGGACTTAGTTACATCTTGTTAATTCAACAGTAAAATGATGAGACGTAGTTGCCAATCCAGTAGTATGCTTAATCATGCAGCCAAGCTACAGAGGGAAGTCACATCATGTCGATGGGAAAGTGACTGAAGTTGAGATGCAAGGCACCAAAATAAGTTTCAGCTGATAGGTGTGAAGCACAAACAGGTTACCTCACTTATTCATATTCAAAAACCGGTATCTTTCGATACATGACTGACGAGGCAGATTTTTTCCTGCAGTAGTTTGCCATTTCTTTGTCGTACACCAGTTGCCATCCAAGGCTATAGAACCCCATCTGTCCTGCTATTTACCCATAGCTGGATGAAGAAGAAGAGGATTCATACTTTTCCCAAGGGTATTAGCACATAAGTGAATGTAATGGATTCAACTGGAATTTGAACCTGGCTCTCTGATTCTTCAATCCAAGCCACTATCCATTACTCCACCCTGCCTCTACTTGACCTAATTAATTTTTGTTGTGCTTTCAATTATCTATATAAAAATATGTTTAAAAACACCTTTTAGTTGCATATATTGTCAAGGTTAATAATGTTAAGCTTATTAAAAGTAATTTATGTTATTTATTTAACTCCTAATTAGATCATAACTAAATTTGACATCTTTGATTTTTATTTTTACTTTTTTGTCCTCAAACCAGCAATCACTTCTGCAAAATTTCATCTTTTATTTTTGTTAGAACTGACATTTGTACAAGCAGTTCATATTGGCTTAACTAAGAAACAAATGTGTTATGACAGTCAACAAGCAAATATACATGCATATATAAGGATTTTAGGGTAAATGAATTTGAATCTCAGAAAGATCTCATGGTAAATGTGTTAAAATAATCACACAAATTTAATTTCATATTGATTGAAGAAACATATAGCTCAGTTTTCCCAACTACAGTCTTTACTGTCTGAAAAGTATTCATGGATTGTGCTGGTATTAGATATAGGAGACTAGACATTCATACATGAATTAAATATTTCAGATTATGAAATAACTAAATTTCTATTCTATAAGTTATTTATTAAACATTTAAATATGAGCTAGTATGGACTGCAGCCCAGGAGCCCCAAGACTAGGCTCCTGATAAAATTAAAATCTTTACTTAGGTTCCTGATAAAACTAAAAAAAGATATGAGAACAAAAGAGATTTCTTTAAGAATATTAGGGCCCCTTGAGTTGGAACAGGCTTTTTAAATTCAATGGGTCTCCTTGAAGTTTGGGAAAAATTATGTAATGAAGCTATTAGCCCAGCGGCTTTTTAGGCCTAAATCTGGCCCTGGATACAGTTAAAAATAAAAGATACTGATTTTTAAATCAGACAGGCTCTCCTTGTTTAGAAACTAGTGCAGTACAGCCATTTAATCCCATTTTTGTTATTTGAGAATTTTCAGAGAAAGCTAATATTTGTAAATATTATCATCTGACTGCTTTATTATAATTACTTGGATTTTTGAAGGTGCTGATAACTGATGTTTGATCCAGGTAAAAAAAAAATCAGGACAGATTTACAGACATTATCTTTTTACCCTAGGTTGCCCTTGTAAATTGAGTAAATATTTAAAAATAAAATAACAAGAACAAAAAAGATCTTAATCCTAAACAATTTCTTATTTGTTCCGCCAGAGAATTCTCAGATTTCAAAAATCAATTCTATCATTTATTTGATGCCATTTTTTAAATTTTGGGGATTTCCCATCTTTATTCCTTTTCTATATAAAATCCATATTTTGCTTATTGTGGTTGTTTATAAGAAGCTTTCCATATTGTTTTACCATTTTGGGGTCAGATGAAAAGTACTTTTATAAAGAAGGTTGGACTAACAATAAATGTAGACAAATATTTAATAGATTATCAAGCACAT